TCTCACTGAGGCTCCCCTCAACCCCAAGGCCAACCGTGAGAAGATGACTCAGATCATGTTCGAGACATTCACCACACCCGCCATGTATGTGTGTATCCAGGCTGTTCTGTCCCTGTACGCCTCTGGTCGCACCACAGGTCTTGTCTGTGACTCTGGTGATGGTGTGTCTCACATGGTCCCTGTATACGAAGGTTATTGCCTTCCTCACGCTATCCTTCGTCTCGACTTGGCCGGTTGTGACTTGACTGCATACCTGATGAAGATCATGACTGAGCGTGGCTACTCCTTCACCACTACCGCTGAACGTGAAATCGTTCGTGACATTAAGGAGAAGCTTTGCTACATCGCTCTCGACTTCGAGAGTGAGATGAATGTCGCTGCTGCCTCGTCCTCTCTAGAAAAATCCTATGAACTTCCCGACGGTCAGGTCATTACTATCGGCAACGAACGTTTCCGTTGTCCTGAATCAATGTTCCAGCCTTCCTTCCTGGGTATGGAATCTGCTGGTGTTCATGAGACCGTCCACAGCTCCATCATGAGGTGCGATATTGATTTGAGGAAGGATCTGTTCGCCAACATCGTCATGTCTGGTGGTACCACCATGTACCCTGGTATTGCTGACCGCATGCAGAAGGAAATCACGAACTTGGCTCCTTCCACCATCAAGATCAAGATCATTGCTCCTCCTGAGCGTAAATACTCCGTGTGGATCGGCGGTTCCATCCTGGCCTCTCTGTCCACCTTCCAGCAGATGTGGATCACCAAGGATGAGTACGAAGAGTCCGGCCCTGGCATCGTCCACCGTAAATGCTTCTAAATCATTATATTTTATAATAAACTTAACCACCAAAATAAATTATAAACTTTTCGAAATAAAATTTCTAAATAAAAATAAACCGATTTAAATTCCCGAAAGAGTAACGTCCATGGATAAATAACGGTTGAACTATCAGTACAACAAAATGATCGGAGAAAACAATAAAAGAAGGAAAGGAACAAGAATGATACATCTCATGCACATACTATATCACACCGACAAAAGAATTGACACGTTTACACATACATTCACATTTTCTTCTCAAATAAGCAATTTACTAATTAGGTTTACAGTAAATCATGAACACAAGTTGAGCCTTTTCTTCTTTCCTCCCCTCTTTTATACGCAAAGATCTAGTAAAATTCCGTGATAAGGAATGGGAGACAAGATTTGCTAACACCATGCCATGTGAACTAAGCACTATCATCCTGCAAATACGAGTAATATATTTTGTACACGATTTTAGATCTTAAAAAATATATGTTTAGAAGCAGATCTCAACTCAGACCGTTTGTAAGTACAACGGTAGTTAATAAAACAGCTTTCTACTGTAGGTTTACAGGAAGAGAGAAATACACAGACGATTCCTTCATGCAGTCACTTATACTTAATTACAGTAACAAATTTTCTTGATCTACGAAATGCAACCCGCCTATTTTACTGTTAATATAGGGAGTAAGGTTCAGAATTCTGTGAAAGCTTGTTTACTCTGTAGCATCCCACGGTCTAAATTATATTTAGCTAAGTATTCTGCCAAATAGTGTAATAGGAAAGGAAATGAATTCTGAAACAAGGGCGAAGACGGGTTCGCTGTTGATTTATTTTTAAACTATTTACAGTATTAATAGCAGCTACGGTAATAATACTCATATAATGCAACCTGATTCTTTGGGGATGCCCTATGAGGCAATGACTTATTCACGAATATTTACCAAAACATAGACTTATTTACGAACATGCAATGGCCAACACAGAAGATTTTGTGGCACGTACTTACGATTCTTCCACATAAATAGAAAAAACAACAACTATATGGCGTAAAATGGGACCGAGTGACTTCGGAGGAGTCAGGACGTGTTCGGATGAGTGGTGGAGAGCCGGTGTACTTTACGCGAATAGCTTGATCCGATGTACTCTCCATATAGTGGCGCTAATCGCATATGGGGATTGTGCATTCATGCTGTCATTACTCTTCGGAAGTAGCAAGAAACAGCGGTCAAAAACGACGCTACCATCAAAGCGGCCACTAGAGAGATTTCTATATCGAGGTTAACGGCCGCGGGAACAGGTGTAGTTCTCGACGCACAGCTGCTATTGTCGCTGTTTCCCTTACTGATAGAAGCTGTAAAACCGCAATTCGTCGGTAACTTTCAATATACTACACACTTTAAGGGGAACAAAGGACACCTACCGCGGGAACGTGTTAAGACTAACACAGGGAAACGGCAACAAAGTATTCCAATGCTTATTGTGTTCTAGTCCTACACTCGTGGTCCATCAGCTAATCACACACACACACTTACTATTTACTGTGGTATCATTAATCACATGTTGACTATAACCAGTAAAGCAAAAACTAACCTACCGCACAGGTCATAATACTATAATGTGAAAACAAATTCGAATATTAAGCATAGCTACAAGGCAAGGGAAGACACTATATACTATAAGGTTCTTAAAACCGACATTTTACAGTAGCGTATAAGAAGTAGATTGTACATAGTATGGCTGGTGTTAGATTATGCAGAAGTACTTGTTCTGAGGGCCACGCATTTCTTGCATGCTCATGCAAAACGGGTCCAATTGATCTTTGCAGGGGAGGGCACCGGTTGTCGTAGTGCCAAGATCTCGCCCACTCAGAGACGAATTTATAACGGCAATTATATCCATGTTTTACCTTCGGTGTTGCATGAATTGAAGACTGAGTAGGCCCTATAACACTGATCCGGTTGTTTTGGCGGTAGACAGTCTGTCATCTCTGTCATTAAACCGATTGGGTTAATCCAATGATGAGTGTTGTGTATCCGTGGACGAGGGTAATATTCTTCGAGTTATTTGTTTTACGGAGTTCCTGTCAGAATTTATGAAACCAAACTTAATTACATGATGCCTTCCGGCAGGAATATATTTGACCAGTGCAGTCAATGGTACTGATATAAATGGAAGCGAGACAGTACATGTCGTGTTGCAATGGCTGTGATCTTGATATATTAACCTTGCCTCATTATTGTAAGAACGGGCTAGAGATCATCTCTAGGACAGGCTGGTCTTTGAAAACTAGAACTGCCATTCCCATGCTGCATTTCGAATCGAAAAAAAATTAAAATGACAATTCAGAACACTTTAGTATCGAGAGACTTAAGTAGAAAGCGTACATGCATAATTCAATTAGTTGCCTAGTTTATTTACAGCTTTTGTTAAGCATACGAAGGAATTACGTTTAGCAAGTAATGGGACTCTTGCATTCCCTCACAGTAGATATCTCAGGAGCTGAATTTACGAAAGTTTCTCGATCAGAATTATCGGAAATTTCCTTAGCCTAGTCTGAACTACTGTCTGACAGGTAATGGTGCCATTTATAAAAATATCAGCAGATACGCATGTCACACAAATGGTCTTATATCATTTCCGGTAACGAATATATGGTATATAGAATATTATCAAAGTAATGCGGACGGAATGCATTAATTAGAATTAGAACTTGATATGAAAATCTTTCCACGCACAGGTGACACCCGTGCATCTGTTATCATCGTAAAGCTCAATGCTTCGACACATCCAGTGCATAATAACAGAAAAATAATTTGACATATAAATGAAGATGACCTTCACCGAAGCGTGGAGGCTATGGAATCGCCATCCATGTGATCACACATTTTTTATTAATTAAAAAATGGAAAGTCAGAGATCATTGATCACTTGGTGAATAACGAGTGAATATTATAGTCTGCTTGTTTCTCACAACAAATCTATTTTACAGTACCTTAAAGTAATCATGAAATTAAATACTTATCACTTACATATCGATAAATTGGAATCTTTCCACAGAGTGTTCTTGCCCTATAGTTATTGGCACTGTTATAAGAAAAGGTTGGGAACCACTGCTTTAAGGGACCTCCACCATACATCAGAGAACCCCAGTACGCACCCATGCCCACCGCCAACGTTCCGTCCCAGCTCTCAGGAGATACCACAAATTGGAGACAGAAAGGGACTTGTTGACTTAAACAGGTGTCACTTGAAGCTTGACGCAGGCAATCGTTCATTAGGCGAATTAACTAGCAGAATTATCATCGAAAGTTGGTACTTATACATTATTGTAAATTGAGTTACATTTGCAGGTTCCCTTGTCTTAGAACACAAACATCGGTAATTACTTTATGATAAACTTAAAGTTAAATTACCTAAATATATATGATAAAAGTTATAAAAAATAAGGGTTCCCTGTAATAATTTTTGCTACCTTGAAGGTCGCCTAATTTGCCTAAAATCGCTTTGCTTCACACACACACACACACACACACACACACACACACACACACACACACACACACACACACACACACACACACACACACACACACACACACATATATAGGTGTGTGAATGCCTGGCACTTAAATAGTCTCCCTGTTTCAGTGTAGAATATTATGGTAACTTTATCTCTTTGTCCCTCCTGCCGACATGTAGTGTCTAATTACGAAGGATATCCACATAATATCAGCATACATGGTTCCGGAGGTGGATATTGAAATAGGGGTTTGCTTTACTGCTTTTATCAATTATTTGTTTGGTATAACTTATTAACCGATCTTGTCTTACCTTTTGTAGCATTACTGTTTTGAACCGTATTTCTGTTGGCGAATGTAGAAAGGTATGAATGTAAATGAATATCTTCACAAAACAAAAGATGTATTTAACCGGTTTCGAATACATCTTCGTCAGAAATAATTACATCAGAGAAACTATGGCATATATATATCAGACGTGATTTGACAAATCACCTGACGACCGTTCCTACTCATTCCTACTCAGTGTTTACATTTTTCGCAGTCGCGATGTATGCAGCTTTCATAATTTTTCTTTTCTGTTGGTTTAATCCTCCATGGATTACTTCTGCTTCCTTCCAGCTCAGTAGATGTCCAGCTTCATCTACATGCATTACTTTAACGTTGGAAGCCCTGCGGTGACGGACGTCAACTAGATGTTTGCTGATCTTGGTGTTGAAACCACTTGGGTAAAGACGAAGATATATTCGAAACCGGTTACATAAATCTCCTGTGTTGTGAAGATATTTATTCTCATCCATGCCTTTCTATTTTTTGTAAAGTTTTTGTCTTGCCAGGATACGGTCTTTGATCATTGGATTATCTCGATGACAGGTGGATGTTCTTTTTAAGGAGAAGCATTTGCCAACTTGATTTCAGACTGACATATAAAGTAATTAACAATTAGCATTTGGATCAGGGGCGTTGAGAACCTCGGCGAAGTCATAATGTGTTAACCATGACTCGAACTCGCGAATCTAATTGCGTGGGTGCCAGGTATTTCTTTGGCCACCCGGAACAGCGACAGATGGTCACTACTGGCTACCGGTGGGAGGGATGTTGTACTTTTATAAAATATAATTGTTTTTCTCCCCGCGTGTGGAAGGTCACAACCTACTTGAAATTTAATGTGGATGTAGGTACATAATCGTACTTTGCTTGGAGGGAGAAAATGTTTCTAATATGTGATCTCTGAGAATTTCCTAAGTTTCCGTAAGTTTCGGGAAATATAATCCGAAACTTACCAGCACGCTGATATCGCGAGGTCATAATGTTTCAAGGTAGCCAGTAGGAGATTAATGGATTTTATGGTGTTGCTTGGGATTGTGTCTGATATGAATGCTAACCCCGCCATCTTTTCTGCCCTCACGAATTTTGTTGTATGGTTTCGACGTTTAATGTATTGTCTTTGAATCATGTTTTTGTGATTACTGCAATGTCGACAATAGTTTGTTTAATTATGACGTCATTTGTGAGACAGCAAGCCTTTGCAAGGTAAATACTAGAAAATGTTTAGCAAAGTCTTGCGTTAGCTGGTGCTTTTGGTGACGAGTCATTTTGGTCAAACATCTCGCTCAGGCTGTGAGGTTTTGTATTTGTTTCAATTTACAAGACCCTGACTTCAAAAATTCGTCAGCTACAAGTGCCCTGCCTTTAAATGAAACGGTGGAGCTGGAATAACGTGAATGATTTATTTTTGCTTTGAATGCATTTACATCGTCCACCTCAGTGAAGTTAAGATTCTCGGTATCTGTGCTTGTG